GATCTATTTACCTCAGAGAGAAATTGCTAGGTCCCAGATGAGCTAAGTTAAGCTTTAGAACCAAAAACTTTTCTGAAGTGTTTATATTACATTTTCCGTCAATAAAAAGTTGTAATTACACTACATCTTTGTGACTTGGTATCTTAATTTTAGCCGTTCTGAGGACCTGCAGCGATGTGATGTTGTGGATTTAATTTGTATTTCTGAGGATTAATGAAGCAGAGCACCTTTTCATGTTTATTGGTCACTTGGATAGCTTTCTTTGTAAATGTTTGTCTTTTTTCTGTTGGGTTTTTTGATGATTTTACATGTTCTTTATATATATTTTGGAAACAAGTCCCTTGTTGGATATATATCTGGATTGATGAAGATATATATGAGATATATATATAGGATATATATATATGAGATATACATATATATATAGGATACATATATATGGATTGATGAGGATATACATATATATATATACAAATCTTTAATGCTGTTGGTTGCCTTCTCCTTTGTGATGTCTTTTGATGAACTGAAAATTTCTTAATCCTAATATACTGTTTTCTTCCCTTTTATTGTCAGTGTTGTGTCCTGTTTTTAAAAAAATCCTTACCTCCTGCAAAGTGACAAAGATCTCTGTCCCCTAAAACTTTGTCTAATCTTTCACATTTAGATTTGCAACTCATTTGAAAGTGATTTTTGTATAGTGCATGATAAAAGCAAAAAATACATTCTTTTCCTATATAATATCCAATTGACCCCACAATATATATTGAAAAGATCATTCTTTTCTTACTGTACTGCAGTGTCACCTTTGCCATAAATCAAGTAACCACTAACATGCAAGTCGATTTCTTGGACTCTTTTTCCTTTTCATTGGTTTGTCCATCCTTGTGTCAATATCACTTTGTCTTAATTACTGTAGCTTTATAGTAGCAACATTGTTTTAAGTGATTATAGCTTCCAGTAATATGATCAGAAGGCAAATGCTCAAAGCCTGAACTTGAATCTGAATAACTAAGTTATGACTCTCATATATCCTACTGACACAAAAAAAGGAGGGAAAAGAATACTTATTAAAAAGTTTAAAATATCCTGGGTAGTAATGAGATGAGAATGAAGATTATTACTGCATTTTTAGTGTGGTGTTTATTAGGGAACTGGATGCCTACTTTTCAGGTATGGGAAGAAGACAAGAAAAAATATAAAACAACTGTCTACAATTAGTAAATCCAAAATGGCATGGTATAAACCAAGTGCTCAACAAGGGAAGGGAAAGGAAAGAAGGGATGGAGCCGTTAGCAAAGCCTTAGTAGAGGAAGAATCCTTGAATTTGAACCCAACCAGGTCACTCTTAATGCAGAACAGTAGAGACTTCATTTTTTGTTTCCTGGATCTCCTTAAATCCATGATCATATCCTGCTGTTATTTTTTTAAATGCTTCTTTAATCTCTATTGTTTTCAAAACAGACTTATGGTTTGAATCTTGACTGTACATCTGAATCATCTGGGAAACTTTTAAAAAATGATGATGCCCAAGACTCTCCACACTAACAGAACAATCTGTGAGTGTGGGAGTCAAATCATCAGTGTGTTTAAATGCACTCCCACCTGATTCAAATGTACAGCTGAAGCTGAGGACTGCTGAGTTAGAAGGTATACTCAATCAGTGGTTCTCAACTGCGGATAGGATACTGTCACATAAAATAAAGGACACTTTGGTTAGATTTTTTTCAGATAAACATTTGACCCCTTGGGGGAAACTTGGTCACTTTTAGAGATATTTTTGTCATGACCAGGGGTTGCTACTGGCATCTAGAGGATGGAGGCCAAGGATGCTGCTGAATATCTATAACGCACATGAACATCTCCCAGGACAAACAATTATCTGGTTCAAAATGTCAACAGTGTTGAGGTAGATAAATTCTACCTTTGTTGTTTCAAAGCAGAATTTATCTACTTTGGAACAATAAGAGAACCAGTACTAAGAAGAGGAAATACAGTCTGGAACTAAAAGCAGAACTTTGTTCAAATGTAAGGATTATATTGATGGTACAAGTGACAGAAGCCCAAGAAATGAGTTTTAAGCCTGAAATTACAGCTGAACTATTGTGTGAAGTGTAAGATCTGTAACTGAATTTTTAGATACACTTTAGTAAATTTTCAAAGAAATTCAGAGCATGCAGAGTTCAAGGGAATGAACTCAGAAGTTCATCTATGAAATGTGGCAGCAGTATTAGTTAACTTGAAGTTAAATTCTACAACTCTTTGATATTTTTAATTGCCAAATAAACTTCTTGATGGTGAGTATGAAGTCTCTCTTTATATATCTATGTATGTAAGTCACAGCCAAATTCCACCATTGGGTCTTAATACTAGCTTATGTAATCTGATGCATATTCCTACTTTTCATTCTATTATAAAAGGATGGAGGTGGGTCAGTTGATCTGAAAGACCCCTTTCAGCATTTATCTTCTAAAAATTCTTGTCAAAATGCAAATTTTACAACAAAAACATATTTTCAGTGATAGGTCTAAAATCAATTTCAATGGCTCAGTCTTTAAAAGGTCGCAAACTTCTGTTTAAGACAATAAATTTTACCAATTCTTCCTTTATGGGGTCCTAATCAGACTGTGAAGAAAGCTGAGTGCCAAAAAATTGATGCTTTTGCCAACTGTGGTGTTGGAGAAGACTCTTGAGAGTCCCGTGGACTGCAAGGGGATCCAACCAGTCCATCCTAAAGGAGATCAGTCCTGGGTGCTCATTGGAAGGACTGATGCTGAAGCTGAAACTCCAGTACTTTGGCCACCTCATGCGAAGAGTTGACTCATTGGAAAAGACCCTGATGCTGGGAGGGACTGGGGACAGGAGGGATAGGGGACGACAGAGGATGAGCTGGCTGGATGGCATCACCGACTCAATGGACATGGGTTTGAGTAGACTCTGTGAGTTGGGGATGGGCAGGGAGGCCTGGTGTGCTGTGATTCATGGGGTCACAAAGAGTCAGACACGACTGAGAGACTGAACTGAACTGAACCAAACAAGTGTGATGAAACTAATACCTGCAATATTTTCTTATTGCAGTACATAAAAGTTAAACTACTTTCTACTAGGATTAGTAAGAATCCCTTGGATTATGTATCCCAAACCTAAATCTACTTAAAACATTTCAAGGAAAATAAAATTCTTAACTGGCAGTTACTTCTTAAAAGTTTTGTTTTTACAAATCCTGTTAGAAATCAAGATGAGAAAAGGAGCCCCAGTACTCTTTACCCTACCGCTGAAATAATACAGTACACAGCCATAGCCATCGATAGGGAGGAAGTATGCTTTTCAACCAGTAGACGGCACTTCAAAACTGTTAAAAGCAGACGGTGAAATTTCAAGGAACATGGCTCAAAGAATGGTGCAAGGTCAGAAATGCCTGAATAAGCAATATGCACACTAGAAATGAGTGATGAAAGGCAGTGGACCAAATAATTCTTTTTGTGGGAGATGTCCTTTGCATTGTAGGGTATTTAGTAACATCTATGGCCTGTGCCTACTGGATGCCTACAGCACTCACCCACTGCAAGCTTAACAAGCAAGAACTATCTCAACATTGCCAAATTTCCCTGGGGGCAAAACTGTCCCAGTTCACTGAGAAGACAAATGCTATGCAAATGGACAATCTATAATTATGCATAGTAAGGAGGAATCTCACATTGCTGAGTGAAGGAAGCCAGAGGGAACATGGTATATATTTCATATATATATTAAGCATCAGAACAGAAAACCAACTTATACTGTAGGAAATCAGGATAGTGGTTGCTTGCAGGAGGGGTAAGTAAGGGGAGGAAGTGCCTGAAAGGGAAGAGGATGAGCCTCTGAGATGCCAATATGTTCTGTATTGATCTAAGTCCTCCTTACATAGATGAAAATTTACTGAGCATTTATACTTCAAAGTTTTTTTTTTCTCCAAACACTAGGGGAGTCACTACTTTATCTTTGTAACGAATGAGAACATTGTAGGTCTTACTCTGTGAATCGTAAGCAATACTCATTACCAGGCTATATGTTAATTAAGCAAAGAATTTTAAATGAAGTTATAAACTAAAGTTGGTCATCTCCATGTGTTCATTTAAAACATAGGCATTTAATTAAAAAAATACAGAAAAATCCATTTCAAATAATTCATTTGGCAGAAGCTACTTGTTCTCCTGAGATTTATCTCTATTCCTATTGACAAAAGACAAATCAAAGATAATTCTGAGCTTAAAATATTGTAAAAACAAGTTCTGTCCCCCATGAGGCATTTCTGTAAACTACTGCAGTTTCTATCTGTTGTTAAAATTAGAGAAATAGACTTAGCAGATGAGTTATAGTTTTGTCTGAGAATAAAACACTTATTTGTCTCAACCAAGGAGTTAAGAATTACTTTTGACTATTATATAAAATTGAGATTCAAATTCTTTTATATGTAAAGATGTAGTATTATCCTTATTCTTCGTTCTCTGCACATACATTTCAAAGTAATACTCAGACTGGTATCAGGACACTTGACAAGTAATAAAGAAAAAAGAAATTTTAACAAGTTAAATCTACACTGAATCCAGAATTCCCAACTGCATTTATTTAAAAAAAGAAAAAAACTTTAAGGACTGTATTTTAAAAAGACTGCAATAAAAAAACACACATATGATCATAGCCAAATGTATGATTTATTTTTGGAGAGGTATAATTAAAAGTGAGGTTTTTCCAATTAAGGGGAGAAATAACAATATGAGATCATACCCTGGTTACATGTTAATTATCACATTCTGTACAATGTGGATGTGCTCAACATGTATTTAATGATATGAGTATCTGAAATTTAAAAATTATAAACCACTTGCCAATATTGTAAATCCATAATGTTGAAATAAATACCTACAAGGGAGTAAATTTTAAAAACGGAAGCCTTTGACAATGCTTGTGGATCATCCCAAATGTTACAGACAAGCAGAAGATCAAATTAATTGACACTACTGCTAGTTTCCACTTAATTTCTTCATAATATGGCTGTCTGGTGTAGCATTAGTAAAGATACTTCCTACAACCACATGGGTACCCCAGAGACTGTGACGAATCACTTTACAGCAGCCAAGATCATCAACAGAGAATCCTAAATGTCGATAGCGTTCATCTGTTTCAAAAAGAGTGTTGTTTGTATATGGTCCAAAAAACTGGAAGAAATAAAAAATGAAGTCATATTTTTATTAACAAGAAAGATAATGGAGTAACAATTTTTATGTAAACATGAACACAGATCTGTATAAATACTGCAAATATTTAAAAAGTCAAATAAGAAATAAAAGGGTCACATGCAACACCTAACTGCCCTAAAAACCTCTCCCCCTCAATACTTGTGTATTCTGGAAATGTGAAATGAATGATCTAGCAGACTGCATGTTATCTAGAACCAAATGTATAACTTCACATGACCTTTAAAGATGAAATAAGTCTTAGGCAATCATCTATGGTTCACCTTTGTAATTTTCAATATAAGAAAACTATAGCCCAGGGTGTTTTTCATTTCTAGTACTCACTAAATCTTAACTTTGAGAAGAAACAGTATATATTTCTATCTTAAGATTAAAATAAAATTTATTACTATTTGTAACTTAAAGACATACACAGAATTTAAAATGTGACAATAGTGGCTCATTATTTTTTTTAAAGTATAGCTTTATAAATGTTAATTTCCAAAAAGTTACTTTTCTTTACCATCCAAATTTTCTTTATTCTAAAAATAATTTTTTCTTCCTTAATGAAACTACTGAATGCTAATTTTTAACTAACAGAATGCTAATTTTTAACTAACAGTAAGCACACTAATTCAATGTAATTCATATAATGTCTATTAGTAAGGATGGAAAAAATAAAATTTGAAATTATTAAAAAAAAAAAAAATTTAAAGTGATGGAAAACTTTAACCAGGAGTGACAGAGATCCCTCAAAGTTGTGATTTCAATTGATTCTTGGTACTTCTGTGCATAAAATTGTGAGGTTTTCAAGAAGTCCTAAATGATTTATTTTTTACCCAGGCTATAATTATAAAAAAGTAATTCCTACTTCAAATTTCAAATGGCTTTCAAAATGTACTTAATTACTCACTGCCAAACCAGATGACGGGTCAATAAAGTCAGCCCAATAGCCTTCAGCTCGAAGGGCATAGCAAATTTCCTTAGCACCGCTGATGAACTGCAAAGAAAAAGACACAAATACTATGCTCAAGATAGCATCACTACAGACTGTTTTATTTTTCAATAAATTTTTAAAATAAATATCTTTTGCCTCAGATAGAGAACACATGATTAATAAAAAATTAAAATTAATGATAAATTAGGACTTACAGTCTTAAGATTACTTTCACTAGTCCAAACGATTAATGGTTGATATAACACCATTTTTTTAAGGTCTAAATTGTACGTTTTTTCTTCTAAATTATTTTAGAAACTATTTCTAATCACTTTTGTGCTATTAACTCTAAAATTTGTCAAGGATTATAAACTATAGTTGGATTATAACTATAGTTTATACAGTTAAACTATATAAATTATAGTTTATATAAATTATATAAACTACAGTTTATAAACTATAAACTATTTTATATCATTATGGAAATTTCAAAATAAGGTAAGAAAGGGAAAACAAAATATTCATAATGAAGAGATCTGAATCATTCATTAATTTGAATGGAAGTTGTTTAAAAACAGGTACTTATTTGTATGTCCTTCAAAAATACACCTATCCAGTCACATAGTCATGAAATATTTCTGACAAAGCACATGAAAATAAGATAAATGGATAGACTGGGTACAGGGCTGGACAGCATACTTACTTTTCCCTATACACTTCTCTATTTTTCTATGTAGTGTATAAATATTACATACCATGTACATGCATTACCTATTCAAAATCCTGTGATGTCTAATTCCTATGATGCACGAGGCAACTGTTTTCAGACAATGAACAGGCAGACACAAAACTGTACTCTTTGAGAGAAGGGAAACAAATAAAGTGATCCCCATATATGCTCTAGCCTTCTGTCTGAGGACACTTTCCTGTTGCAGGACAAAGAAGTGGAGCCCAAGCAAAGTGACAGTGTCACTTTGCTGAGGCAGTAGAAAGCAACAGGTCTGGACTGCTGAAGCATCTGGACTTTGTGGGGTAGGGTGCTGGAGAAGAGGGTGATGTACAACAGGGTTCCAAAGCAGTCTGCAGAGCAGTCTTTCCTGGTTCAGTAGCCTCATGCTAAGCTGTGCAGACACAGAGTGAGATTCCGTGAGGTCTAGCAGAGTGCCAGATGCAAGGCTGCAGCTGAACAGTGTTATCAGGGATCATGCAGCGCTGGGTAACATGAATTTCAGGCCCACCCTGAGTGATGAGACCTCACCGAGCATCTCTGGTATTCAGCTGGCTGAAAGTCCAAGCTAAAGTTAGGCACATGGGCCATCTCTAAATAAGGGATGAGGAAGTGATAGTCAGAGGGTCATCAAACTGAGTGGCTGCCTGTTGGTATAAATACAATTTTGCTGAAATGTAGCCATGCCTATTCATTTATATACTGTCTATGGTTTCTTTAACAATACAAGGGTAAAACTGAGTAGTTGAGAACCTATGACCTACAAAACCTAAAAAGTTACCATCTGGCTCCTTAGAAAAAGTTTATTGATCCCTTCTATAGATATACAACCTAAACTAACCTATGCTCTCTAAACACAGGCATATCTCACTTTTCTGACTTCACTGTACTTAGCAGATAACGTGTTGTTTTACAAGTTGAAGGCCTGTGTCTACCCTGTGTCCAGCAAGTCTATTGGTGACATTTTTCCAGTAACATTTGCTCACTTCATGTCTCTGTGTCACATCTTCGTAATTTTCTCCATGTTCCAAACTTTTTCATCTATTATTATATTTATGATGATCTGCAGTCAGTGACCTTTACTGATGTTTTACTACTATGACTCACTGAAGGCTAAGATGATGGCTAGCAATTTTTAGCAACAAAGTATTTTAAAATTATGGTATGCATTTTTTAAGACATAATGCTATTACACATTTAATAGACTACAGTATAACATAAACATAACTTATATATGCACTGGGAAACCAAAATATCCATGTAACTCACTTTATTGCCATATTTGCTTTATTGTGATAGAGCTGAACCAGCAATATCTCCAAGGTATGCCTAAACTTTCTTGTAAACTAATGAAAAAATTGAAAAATACTGTGTTCTTTAGGTTATCTACATAATATTTGCACTTACTGCTGTATTTCATTAATCCTTACAATTCTTAAAAAGCAGGAAAACTGAATATGGTCTAGAAGTCATTAAAATTATGTATCAATTTAATAAGACATACACAAAAACTACAAGGTGAACAAAACAATGTATTTAAATGTTTGCAAAGATTAAGAATGCCAAATGATCACAAAAAGAACCAGTTTAAATATTTATCTTATTCTGCTCATCAATAGGAAACACTGACATCTGCTGGAAAAAACTATAATAGATTTAAACCATAAAAGATAAAATATCTACTTGGACAGTAAAGTCATGTGTGATCCCAAAATAATCACGAACATATCTAAAATAGAAAGAGATGTTTTCTTTTCCATAAAAAATAAAACAGCTTAAGTCACTATAAAATTAAAAATCACATGAAGAAGTATAGTGCCATTTCAAAACCTGGAAATTAGTTATAGAAAACTGAGTTATATCTTTACTGGGGTCAGTATCAAATGAGGCTCAGAATCTTAGATGAATCAAAAAGTAGGACTTACGATGCAATATATATGTGAGAGCAAACTCACCAGCATCTAAATGATAGTGATGATAAACTACTCCTGGTCGTAATATATAAACAGAAAATGTTTACTGAGTTATTGTATTTTGAAATTTCAACTCATTAAATTCAGATCTTCTAAAAATCAGAGATAATGTCTTATGCCTCTCTGTAACTTCTTTGTTAACTAGCATATAATTCACTCCTGACTGTTAATTACTACCTGGAATTTATCAGCAAAGCTGTATTTGGGATATTTAAGTGTGAAGTGATTATCATAAAATACTTTAAGTATGTAAACAGTGAGGACCATACATCCAACACTAAATAAAACATTAAAAAACTCCCAATATTATTCTGCATGTAAATTAGTAAAGAGAATTTTTTCAATTGTAGTTAGGTGAGCTGATCTTGTCATACATACAAAGGAATCAAACTTATATAATTTCTAAATATGAGATTTTAAGTTACCACTGATTTCTCAGGTTGATAAAAATGAAAAATAATGCTAATATCCAGGCTAAGAGTAACAACTTATATACTAGGATGATCTTTTCGGTGGACAAATTGGCAGTATATATTATAACTTAAATATACCCTTGATTTAGCAATTCCCTATTTAGAAATATGTAAGTATGAGCATAAAAATAAATATACAAATATTTTCACTGCCTATAAAAGCAAAAGCTTGATATTCAACTCACAAAAGACTAAAAAATTTTTTAATAATTTAAAAAATGTATGGTTTGCCCATGTAATCTAATATTATACAGATTTTACAAAGAACGAAATATAATCTATGTGTATGTAATGTGAAGGAAAGGTGTCAAAACATATTTTGTAGTTAAAAGCAAAGGATGGGAAAAATGTGGGTATGTACAATTATTATATTATTATTGTACTGTACACTGTTATTGTTTACACTATGAAGAAGGATTAGGTAATTTTCACTTTTTACTTGACATGCGTAAGAGACAGAAAGAGACATGGAGGGAGAGAACAGGATAAGAGAGGAGACAGGGATGGGTATGAAGAGTTAATTTTACATTTTTGTTGTTTACTGTATTTCCAAACTTCCTAAGATAGACATAAATTAAAAAAAAAAACTGATGAAGTACTGGACAGAATATAAATTTTTCAAAGATACTAAAAAACAAAAACAAAAAACCTGGCACTTTTATTTTCAGAAAACATGTACATTTTAAAAATACTGACATATTAGGCAAGAACTAATAATGGTAAGAAAAGACAGCTATCATTTTAAAACAGTGTTCACTGGTGTTTAAATAAGATTATAAAACTAAACAGTCAGCAGCTTAAAGAATTACCTTTTCTAAGAGCACTTCTCTTTCATTTTCTACCTCCTCACTCCAAACAGTCATATCATTCTTAGTTTTCTGTGTTACAGTCAGAATCATTAGTTTGTTGGTGGCTACTTCTGGAAACAGTGATTCAAAATCTATAAATAAGAATAAAATTCCAGGAAAAAATTATTTGATTTTTTTGAAAAAAGAAACAGCACACAAAACACTTTAGAAAAATGACGATTAAGTCATCGCTATGGCACCAAGCTAGGTTTATAAATGCACATTATTGTTAGAAGGATGAAATAAATTTAGCTTTGGTTTACTTCTGCTCTTTTTGGATGAACCAAAAATATACTGCCAACAATTCCAAAGAGTAAGTTGGGTTACATGTTGTTAGTCTTGGAATTAAAAAAAAGTTTATTATTAAGATTTTTCTCAGTAATCACTTGCGAGTAGGATGACTTTAGGGAAAAAGTTACTAAAAATTCTACTAATCCTATCTAATGGCAGCATGAGGTCAGATGTCAGGGGACATTTGCTAGTCTTTTTCTTGGCCAGGCAATCATCGTTTCCAGCAAGACATATTTCAGTTACAAAACATTATAATTCCTAAGGAGTATATTTTTCAATATATTTAAATTAGTGACAGAATGTGATACACATTAGTGTAAAAATGAATAAAACACAACATACCTCTTCGCAGCAACTCTGGACACGTTTGGATTGCACACTCTACTTTGGCACTTTCAAAGTAAGTTTCTGCACTGTTAATTTCTTGTTCAACAGGTGCATCGTTACCCTTTAGGGGAATAAGAAATATAGATAAACAAAATCTGGAGTTCAAATAAAATATCCTGCCCATTATAAACCTGTTTGTCTTTGAGAATTTTTAAAAATTGTTGAATTAAAAAAAAAAGGAATATATACCTACTGATATTCTAGACTTAATAGAACTTGGTTAAAAAACTTAAAAATGCCATGATTGTATCTTATAATGTTACCTCTTCTGATATTTTGTTATATCTAACTATCCTTTCTTTTGTTCTGTAAAATGGTTATAAGAACATTAACTTACAAAGCAACGTGATTAAATATATAATCTCTCCAACAGGAAAAGCCTAGAGGCTCTTATTCAACTGAAATTTAATGGGTGCCTATTATACATCAGCCGTTATAACAGGAGCAGACACTACAGTGGTAAAAATCCAGTCTTCACTCTTGGTATATAAGGGTTAGTAGAAGAAAAATAGCATGAACAAATAAAGGCAATCCAATATGAAAAGTGCTACAGAGTTGTGAAGGAAGTCTTCTGGAGGTATAAATGGGGAAGAAACTTGCTTTGTTGGGAGAAATCAGGAAGAGGTTGAAATCACATTTGAGTTATATGTTAATTAATATATGTGTCTGACATATAAAAGAATGGACAGAATACAGGCTAAGAATCCCAAAGGAAAAAAAAACAGTCTAGCAAGAAATAATAGTGCAAAGGCATGCAATGGTCAAAGAGAACGGTGTAATTTTCAACAAATGAAAAGTATGCTGTGATTAGAATGCAGAAGGAGCAGGAAATCGTGGGAGGTAAGGTAAGAAAAGGATCAAAACTATGGAAATCAATTTATACCACATTACAAAATTTTGACTTTTATTTTAAAATTATTAAATAATATTAATAAATTATCCTATTTTACATATAAAGAAACAGTCTCAGAAGGGTGAAGTAACTTTCTCAAATTTAATTACATTTCTCACGAAAGTAAGTACAATAAATAAGAGTTAATCTCTGTACACAAATTTATCCTATCTCCACAGTCCATCCTACTATAACGCCTCTAAAAGCTGAGGTAAGATAAGAAGGCGCTGAACTCTAACAGCATCAGTGAGAACTAAGGTGACGCGAACTGAAAGGCTGCTCTCAGAGGTGAAAGCCATGTGACGGGCGCTATTCACGGGGGAGTGATGAAAAGAGTCGTCAAGGCCGACGTCGCAGTCTTCCTTTTCGGGGCAGGGCAAGGGTGACTAAGTCACTCACACTACTGACGACATGGGAGTAAAGGCAGGTTTTGAGAGAAGAAAGGGCCCACTCAGTACTAGATGTGTGCTAGTCCTAACTCTGGTGCTTCTGAGACATCCGGATAAAGATATTTGGCAAGTGATACAGAACCAGAAATGTCAGAAACAGAAACGCGAAGTTAGGAAATATGAAGACACAGCCTATGGAGAAAGCTGAGGACTGAAGTGACCAGGGAGCAAGTCAAAGCAGAAAATGAAGAACAGACATTTGGGAAATACCATATAACTGGTAGACAGAGGAAGAGCCAAGAAGACTGAGAAGGAATTATCTGAGATAAAAAGGGGAGGTCAACTGTGTCCCAGTGTTAGGTTACTGATATAACCCATAATTGTGAGCAGTCATTACTTTTAATAATATCATTTTGATCAAAATCTTAACCTGAAACTACATAGAAATATGAAAAATGATAAGGATCAGGGGTTTGACAAACTCTGAAATGCATGTAACTTCCCATTTGAGTGAGCAATGATGCAATACTAGTTTTAAAATGCATTTAAAGAATTCATATGCAATACCAGTTCTAAAAAACTCATTAAAAACCTCTCAGGAATTGTTTTTACAAAACCTATTTAAAAATCCTATTTAAAAATTTAAACTAAACTTAAACTAAAAAATTAAACTAAAAATAAAATAAAATAAAACTAAAAACTTAAACTAAAAATTAAACTAAAATTTAAACTAAATTCTATTTAAAAATTTAAACTAAACTTTTTAGTTTAGTATATCTGAAGAATTTTAGAGATCTCAAAATTTTTTTAAGTTTCTAAATGGCTAGAGGAATATAAAACTAGTTGGAATTTGGTCCATATATAAATTATAATTACTGTTTGTAAAAATGAAAAAAAAAAAGAAAATCTAAATTTCCAGTTACAGAAATTAAGTTATTTATATTTACAATAAATATTTATTAAAAAAGATATTTTGAAGAATTAATTCCCTAAGAGACTGCAATGTGAAAAATTATATAGCAAATACTATGTATAGGACAACACCAAGGTTTTAAAAACTATACATGCTTTTCCTGTATATACTGGACTTTAACCGATTTTTTTACTTTTTCAATGAAAGTAATACTCTCGTAGTTATCAGAAATAAAGCTTTAATAATTAGAAAACAGAATAAATGATATTAACATACCTGAAATTCATTCACATATTGTGCCATAACAAACTCATGTCTTTCACTCGATAAAGGTTCTGCTAGAACATCAGGTAAAGTTTTATGAACCTGGCTTTTCTTCTGTGATGCGGTCCCATTGAGGTGACAGTCAAAACCTATGTTCCCAGGAAGCTGGAATCTCTGATCCTGAGGTCCAAATGGTCCCATGGTTTCATCAGGCCAAACTGTTCGAGAGCCTGAAGAGGAACAACAAAATGAACCATTTTCTCCTTACAACTTAAATGCACTGGTAGACTGAAAGAATGTGAAAGATGCTGTTCTTCCAATAAGGTTTTTGTTTTTTTTTAACCTAAACAATAGATCTTTGAAGTTTGCTTTACTGGTTGAATATGTTAGTTGGTTTCATGTTATTTCCAAAACATTAGTTGAAGCAACCAGCTGCCAAGTCATAGGTAATTCCCTTATTAGGGAAAGGATTCAATAAAGTACTGTTAATCCATACTATGTAATTCTTTTTTTTCTGGCTTCACTGTATGGCTTGTGGGATCTTCGTTCCCCAAAAAGGAACCGAACCCAGGCCATGGCAGTGAAAACCTGGAATCCTAACCATTAGACCATCAGGGAACTTCCATACTATGTAATTCTTTACAGTCATTAGTAAATCTTTACATATGGTGAAAGAAGTTCACAGGAGAAATGACATTAAAAGAAAAAGCTAAGTCCAAGAACAGTATATGTGATATTTATTTTACATGCTTATAACAATGTTTTAAATACAGAAAAAAAAAAATACTTGAAAGTAAAGATACCAGACTTAGTAGTGGTTACACACCCTGGGGTGTGTGTTTATGTTAATCGCTTAGTCATGTTCGATTCTTTGTGACCCCATGGACTGTAGCCCGCCAGGCTTTGCTGTTCATGGCATTCTCAAGGCAAGAATACTCGAGTGGGTTGCCAGTTCCTTCTCCAGGGTATCTTCCTGACCCAGGAACTGAACCTGGGTCTCCCACAATGCAGGCAGATTCTTTACCATCTGAGCCACCAGGGAACCCTTGGGGAGGGGCATTCAACTGCTGTTACCTGGTGGCACAAAACATTAATGGACTGGAAAACATTTTGTAACCAATGTGACATAATGCCCTGTTTACCACTCACATGCGCGAATATGGATTAAATACTTACAGAAGAATACACATTACTTTATTCCTATAAAATTTAAAAAAATCCTAATGTGAAAAATTCAAAAAGATCCAGAAAAAAGTAACTTAGAAAATCAAATGAAGAAATACTCACAGTAGGAATTTTGTTTAGAGAAAGGAAAGGATGGCTGCAGACTTTAGTTGGCAATAAAAGTATTTATAAATTTTCTGCCAGAACTAAGTGACTAAAAATGGTCATGTCATTACGGCTGCCCCTATGTGACGCCCATATCTCTCTTCCATACCTATGACAGATATTACCTATCAATTATGGAACTTTTCCTTGCTGAAGCCCAGACACTATCACATAATTCTCAACCCAAACACTCTAGCCCAGCACATCTCAAATTAAGTATTTAAGAATCATCTGAGAACTTCTCAAAATGCAGATTCTGATTTACTAGATCTGGAATGGGGCTCAAATTTGTTTCTAACCAGTCCTGGATGATGCTGATGCTATACCATGCCATGTTATATTGGTCTGCAGATCACACTGAGTGATAAGGCTCTAGACAGCCACCAATGAGCGACTGGAGTCAGTTCACAAACTAAAACTTACCAGCTGTTCTGAACAACCTGGGTTTTATAGATTATTCAGATCTGTGTCTTCAAATAAATACTCAATATTAATACTGGATATGAGCATATTTTCAAATGTTTACTGGTCATTTAGGTTTTCTCTTACAGAAACAGCCTGTTCAAACTCATTTTTGAAATTTTTGTTTGGTTTTCTACTGGGTTATTTTTTCCCTATTGATCTACAAAAATTATTTATTTATTTATTTTACAAAAATTATTTATATAGTTTTCCCTAGGTATTCACAGGGCAATGCTTCCTGGATCCTCATGGATATCAAAATCTGCATATGCTCAAGTCCTTATATAAAAAGGGTTTAGTTCAACTGACCTTTGAGCAACTCAAGAGTTAGTTGTTCAAATCCTGCAGTCAAAAATCTGAGTATAATTTATAGTCAGTTCTCTGTATAGTCATTTCCACATCCTCAGAGTCAAGGAACCGAGAACTGTGTAGTACTGTAGTTAGTTATTATAGGAAAAAATCCTGTGTATAAAACAGATATGCACAGCTCAAACCCATGCTGTTCAAGAATGAACTGTACGTGCATATATGTAACCTATGTACATCCTCCTGTATACTTTAAATCATCTCCAGATTACCTATAATATCGAACACAGAGTAGATGATATGTAAATAATTGCTGGCACATGGCAAATTCAAGTTTTGCTATTTGTAACTTTCTGGAATTCCCCACCCCCTCAAATATTTTCAATCTCTGATTGGTTGAATTTGAGGATGCAGAACCCATGGACAGGGAGGTCAACCTGTATTTCACAATACAAACCCTTAACTATTCTGAGGGACAGACCTTTCATTTACGATAGATCTATGTTTAGCCTTCAGATCAAGAAAACTGAGGAATAATCAGAGATAGAGTTTGAAAAGTGAGGCAAGAAAACTAGGGGATGTTTTGCATGCCCAAGTGAATGGACATTACACTGTAAGTAATGCACTGAATGAAAAAAGGATTCCATGGGCAATCACTTCAGAATACATTAGGTAAAGTTTCTAAAAGCCCTCCCTTAATATTTTAGTGTGCTTTATAAACCTCTAAGATAGGACTTTGGCATAAAACATTTCTCAAAGTTAACTAATTACAGAACTTAAAAAAAATTTTTTTTTTTAAGATCTTGAACAATGATTCATAGTTTGTGGATAGTTTAGGAGTGGCTACTGAAAGCAATGGGAGATAATTGAGGTTTATGACGGAAATGTCATGATTTACAGCATTTTAGATTGATTAATGTGATATAGTGATGTGCAAGGTGGATAAGAAAAAGCAGACTTTAATTTAATAAACACTCGTTAGTAAAAAGTGATGGCTACATTTAGGAAATTCAGCAAAGAGTGGCAAGAAGTAGTAACACAGTTTAATAGGATCAAAAGAAGATTTGTTTCAGGGAAGACTGTGTGTTTGAATATAGATTAGAAAAAAACTAAAGTTCAAGAAAGTAAGTTTTAGAAACCAATATTCATTGTTTTTTTTTTTTTAGGTATTGTAACTTCCTGGCATAAATATTAGGCAGAGCTCTGATTTTACTTTCAAAGGGATAAACTCAACTTTAGAAGACCAGTAAAACTTCAAAAAGATATATTACAGGAAACATAACAAATGCTATGAAACAATTCTAAGTAAAACAAAAGTAAGTCTTACTTACAGATATCTGGAGGTGCAGTGGCCACATGAGACTCATCAGAACCTGAAGATCCTGCGGTTGAAAAGGCTCTGGGATTGACAACCCTTTTAACTAAAGAGCAAAATCCTGGGAGATAGGAAACCAGTCTGGCTCTGTTACAGAGCACCTAAGAATGACACAAAAACCAAAATTATTCTGGATATAAATGTTATACTAACATAGACAATCTTGGGCAAATCCTCACATTGCAATGTATCTTTTAAAACCAACATTGATTCTACTGTTATTGAGCACCTGCCATAGAATGAGCATCACACATATTTATAATTTTAAAAATAAACACAAATATTAAAAAAAAAAACAACACAAGTACTAAGTTATTTGGGTAAAAATATATGGCTTTCCTAGCAAGCCCAGAATCAAGAGTGCCATACAGAAAGAACAGGAACTTTGAAAAGTTGCCCTGTTCAGCAGCACCACTAAAAAAGTGGCATAGCTAGCAAGTCTTCTATTCTCAAAATAAAGACTTTCAAAATCTCTCCTAGGAAAAAAAAATGTACTTACTTTCTAACCCCTCTTGTACTGCTATCAGACTGTGCTGATTATCTCCCATGCTGTCTTCCTCTTGATTTTATGGCAATGTCCACTTCCCTCCAGTTTAGCATACATCTTTATGATACCTTTTTTCTGCTCCTATGTTCATTTCCTAGACTCAGGTCAGTTACAACATGAATGTGTCAACATCTTTCATGTATAAACTTTAATCAAAATAGCTGAGTCAGAATAACTTTGATGCAGGGGTTGGCAAACTATAGCAGACTATAGCCTTCTGGCTGTTCTGGTGAATATAGTTCTACTGTAACACTGCCACACCCATTTATGTATCATCTATGGCTGCTTTCATGTCATAATTGCAGAGTTATTTCAGAGACTCTGGCCTACAAAGCCTAAAATATTTGCTACCTGGCCCTTTATATTTAAAAACATTGCTGACTCTTAGATTAGTGGAAAGCACTTAAGAACAAATACCATATCATCTGTGAAATTCTATTAAAAGATTCGAACAATTAAGAGATCCTTGAGGTCATAGGAAAAGTTTCATGAAGGATTACTGGGTTGTGAAGAAACAGAAATTTAGGCACTCATATTTCAATGAGTGCCTTTCAGGAAGAAAGGTATGGAGGTCATTTTCAAAGAGTCACAGGTTCACTGAAGGTGAATGCAGTAAAGAACAGGCTTGAAATTTAACTTATGAGCAACTATAAAAGGCTTTATACTTTGTGACACAGATAGGAAAGGGCCTATTACAACAAGATAATAAATCAGAATTTTAACCTGTAGGCAGGGAGGAAGAGAGTTAACTGATAAAAATAAAGGATGTTTTAAGGAATGTATAACTAAGGGCAGTGGAGAGAAAAGTGTGGGACTAGAGAGGTGGCATGGAAACTAGTTACCAGGAGGTTGAAATAGTCTAACCATTTGATACTTTGGAATCATTCTTTTTCCCTTTCATAGAGTATTCTGAAATCCAACCTGTCTGTTCTTTGACTGGTCTTTCTACCTCTCTAACAGAATTTCTTACTGATTTTATCTTCCCTTCTCTTACTCCACTTTTCAGTCACATAAAAATACCTATACAACATTACCATATTTCTGTCTTTTATACTGCCATAAGATTTCTTCCACTAAAATGCCCTTTTCCTTCTCTTAGGCTGGATAAATTCCAACTCTTTCTTCAAGATCCAGATAAACTGAACCTCCTCCAGATGCCTCCAAAATGCAAGGCCTGTCTCTAGAGCATTCTGTCCACTTGAAAATTTAAGCATCCTCCCCTGGCCCTACAGCCTCATCATTAGATTATTACTTAATGTATCATTCAACTACAGGTATACTATGCTGGCTAACCGTTACCATATTAGTTTTCCTAACACACAACTCTAATTAAATCACCACAATTTAAAGAATAAAGTCCAAATTACCAAGTCTATCATTCACAACTCTTTGCTAGTGGTTTAGCTGCTAAGTCGCATCCGACTCTTTGTGACCACACTGACTGTAGCCCACCAGGCTCCACTGTCCATAGGGTTTCCCAAGCAAGAATACTTGAGTGGGTTGCCATTTCTTACTCCAGGGGATCTTCCTGACCCAGGGATGGAACCTGAGTTTCCTGCTTGGCAGGTGGATTCTGTACCACTGAGCCACCTGGGAAGCCCCAAGACTCTTGTTACTTGATCCCAAATCCTCAGTCCAACCTCATTTCCCACTCATCTCTTTCACACATCTTACATTGAGGAAGATAGAAATGACTTCTTGATTTTTGAAGGGGGGGGGGAGGCCAGGGGGTGTCTTTGAATATATCTGTTCTGGGTGAGATTTAGATAATCTCACCCATCTTTTAAAATTCAAATGCTTCTCTGTTTAAGTGAACCCAAACCCCTACTTTTCCCTCTCCACAAAGCTTTGAATCTATATTGTACCCCTGTGTAACTTTTAAAATTGTTTCTACTCTTACTGTAATAGTTTTCATGTATGTTTTATGACCCTTATGGCACGATGCGTTTAAGTCATCACTGGACAGTTACCGTGAATAATTACCTCTGGTCTATGAGAATAATCTGTCTTGCTCTCATTCTGTAATATCTGTAAGGTTACTTCCTATACTAAAACTGCTACAAAACCTTCAGCTGACCTAACCAAACAGAAACCGGCTTAAAAATAGGTTCTAAGTATTTACAAAAATAATGTCTTTTAAAATTACTGAAAGGATGCTGGCAATGAATTTATTTCTCAAAAGGAATTGCATAAATAAATAAAAGTATTGAGAAATATGTTTGTGTTCAAACTACCTTCAAGGCATATTGACCTAATTTCACACCCCTTGCTTCCCTTGACATTTTTGATTCACCAAGTACAAGAAACATTATGCCATCAATGCCATTATAATTAAACCCGTCCCTCCATTTCTTAACGAGTTCCCAAAATAATTTACTACTGTACTGCTTCTTAAGAGACTAATTTACTCACATTGGCCATTTCTGGTGGAAAGGGCAGACGAAAATTATCTTCCCTTTTGTAAAGTTATTCCTGGGAAAGGACAAAACAAAACAGGCCGGTGACGGATCAAGCTCTAACAACAGATCACTCGGGTAATGTCCACCATCGCCTACTGGGTGTCCCTTCTTCCGCGACAGGACCAAAGTCCAAGCTGTCCCCGGACCCCAGGAGACTGGAATTCGCCCCCTGCCCCCACAGGGCACAAGTCGCTGCCCACAGGAGGCCCTGCAGCTCTCGGCCCGCCCGGTGTGTCTGCGGAAGACAACTCCGACTAGATCCGGGTGAGGAAAGAGGAGCCGTCCACCAGGATGGAGTCCTGAGGCTCCAAGTAGGTATTTTAACACCGATCAGGGTTCTAAACAAGCTGTAAACAAAGCGTCCAGCAAAGATGAAGGTTGAGGAAGCGAAAAAGATCCTAACAACAAGAGTGGCAGGACAACCGGGGACAGCGACAGGGGCCCTGTGAATATAGGGGCAACACCGAGCGCTGTGGCCAAAAGATGGGCAAATTTGGAGGGGCTAACACGGGCGGAAACCGTCCGTACCAGTCGCCGCCGCCTCATCCGCCTCCAGTGGTCCCAGGCCCGTACTCTTCCCGTCTTCAAAATGGCGGCGCGACGGCAGCGGCTGTAGCGCTGACGCTAGCAGTGACCAGACTGAAGAAGTTGCTTTCGAGCGCATGGATGGGAATGATCCGCGAGCCGATGATGCGCACGCGCACGGGAGGCCCACGTAGCCCCGCCCTTTCATTGGATAGTCCACCGCCCCCACGTAGGAGGAGGAAAGGTGAGGTGTGGATAATGACATGTGGGATGGAGATCGAGGCTCCAGAGCTGCGTTCGGCACTCATTTAATTTCGATCATTAACTCACCGCTGTATTTGAAAGCCTCCTCTTGCCCCAAGACTTTATTGCTCAAAGGAGGTACAGTTTTCTGTTCTTTGTATCTTTTTTTTTTTAATGTCGAAAATAACTGTTTTTGAGAATAGAGCCTCCTGTGTGCCAGACTTTTAATAGGCACAATAAATATATATCCCACGACTTATTTATAAGGAGTATATCACTTTTAAAATTTATTTTTAATTGAAGGATAATTGTTTTATAGTATTGTGTTGGTTTCTGCCAAACATCAACATGAATCAGCCATAGGTATACCGATGTCCCCTTCTTCTTGAAACTCCCTCCCACCTGCCTCCCCATCCCACCCCTCTAGGTTGTTACAGAGCCAAGATTTGAGTTCCCTGAGTCATATAGCAAATGCTCATTGGCTATCTATTTTGTATAAAGTAATGTATGTTTCCATATTACTGTCTCATTCCATCCCACCCTCTCCTTCCTCCCGGTCTCCCCCGAGTCCTGTCCATAAGTCTGTTCTCTATCTGTGTCTCCACTGCTGTCCTGCAAATAATTTCATCAGTACCATCTTTTTAGATTTGATATATCTCCGTATATTGTTTTTTCTCTTTCTGACTTCACTCTGGATAATAGGCTCTGTATAATAGGTTCATCCACCTCCATTAGAACTGGAGAGTATATAATTTTAATTTGTCATCTGTATTTTAAAAAGTTAACTGAAGTCCATACTTTATTCATACTGATATTTTTTGATGGGTCATGTTGGGCAAGTTAGTCTCTTTAGGCTTTTAGTTTTCTCTCCTCTAAAATGGGGATATATATTCCTATTATTCTAAAATGGGAATAATGTAATAATAGCACCCAACTCATAGTTCATGAATATTAAATCAGTTAATATGTAGCTAACACATATAGCACTGTGCGTGCACACGCGCGCGCGCACACACACACACACACACACCCGCTCACACCTTGGGAGTCTCAGAGGCTTCTGAGAAAAACCAGTGAGCAGAGTATTTGAGTTACTTACAACCCATTCTTTTTTCATTCCTGATAATTTCACCTTCAAGTCAGCTTACTAGTCCAGGTTATATAACAAGATTTTTGGTTGAATGATGATTGTAGGCTTTTTGAGACTGGGAACCATATGTTATTCATCTTTGCCAGGATAGAAAATCACCTCTCAGATAGAGGTGGGAGTGAACAGCGGTATGGCAGAAGGCTGTCAGGAATAACTTCATAGTGTAGGTGATGCTTGATCAGCGTTGAAAGATGAGTAGTTGTTTGTCTGAATGCCAAGAAAAGACATTACAGGGTTGATGACATTCAGTCAAAGGAAGCAGTGTGGATAGAGATACAAAATCCAAAACACTATGGGCAGTTGGGGATATCCACAAATAATCAAATGAGTGAGTTGGAGGTAGACAGGGGCCAGATCATAGTCAGTCTTCAGTGAACTATTAAAGTAGATGTAATCCTAGAAGCAACGGGATACTGGGCAAATTTAAGCCATCATAGCATTATCAGATATGTGTCTTGGGAAGATCCTTGGGCTTCAGTATACAGGATAGGTTGGAAGAATATGGAATTGGACCTGGAGCACGTGGTTAAGAGACTATTGCTGTGCCCATGAGAAAGAACATGACAACCTGAATTAAGCGCAGGGGGAAAGTTGAGAGATCAGTACTGTATAGCTGTCCATTAGCTGCAGACAAGGAAAAGGACACGTTGAAGATGATTCCTGCATTTTTGACTTCGGATACTTGGTGACTAGAGTTGCTTTTGGTGAGACTGGGGTCCAGGAATATTAATTTGTGGAATGTGTGCCATGTGGTAGCACTCATACAGGGATTTTCCATTCTTTAATTCTCATAACAATCCAGAAAACAGACATACTATTATCCTCATGTTAAATATGAAGAAATTAGAGCACAAGTGGCGTATGTATATGTCTGAAGCTTCCAGGGTTAGATTTGAATCTCGGTCTGTTAGGTTTAAAAATAATGTTTTCTTTCGCATAGGTGTTGTCTCCTAGGAAGAAAATAGGTTTTAGGGGAATAATAATGAATTTGGCTTGGGATATCTTGAATTCTAAGATGCCTGAGGGGCATTCATATCTAGTTGTTAGTAAGTTATTGGACAGTAGGACTGTTGCTCAGGAAAGTGGTTTATGTGGGAGACAGACATTAAAGAGTCATTGATATATGGGTAGCAGTTAATGCCATCAGTTCAGTTCAGTTCAGTTAAGTCGCTCAGTCGTGTCCGACTCTTTGTAACCCCATGAATCGCAGCACGCCAGGCCTCCCTGTCCATCACCAACTCCTGGAGTTTACTCAAACCCAGTCCATCAAGTCAGTGATGCCATCCAGCCATCTCATCCTCTGTCGTCCTCTTCTCCTCCTGCCCCCAATCCCTCCCAGCATCAGGGTCTTTTCCAGTGAGTCAACTCTTCACATGAGGTGGCCAAAGTATTGGAGTTTCAGCTTCAGCATCAGTCCTTCCAGTGAACACCGAGGACTGATCTCCTTTAGGATGGACTGGTTGGATCTCCTTGCAGTCCATGGGACTCTCAAGAGTCTTTTCCAACACCACAGTCCAAAAGCATCCATTTTTCAGCACTCAGCTTTCTTCACAGTCCAACTCTCACATCCATACATGACCACTGGAAAAACCATAGCCTTGACCAGACGGACCTTTGTTGGCAAAGTAATGTCTCTGCTTTTTAATATGCTATCTAGGTTGGTCATAACTTTCCTTCCAAGGGGTAAGCATCTTTTAATTTCATGGCTGTAATCACCATCTGCAGTGATTTTGGAGCCCCAAAAAATAAAGTCTGACATTGTTTCCACTGTCTCCCCATCTATTTCCCATGAAGCGATGGGACCAGATGCCATGATCTTTGTTTTCTGAATGTTGAGTTTTAAGCCAACTTTTTCACTCTCCTCTTTCACTTTTATCAAGAGGCCTTTTAGTTCCTCCTCACTTTCTGCCATAAGGGTGGTGTCATCTGCATATCTGAGATTATTGATATTTCTCCCAGCAATCTTGATTCCAGCTTGTGCTTCATCCAGCCCAGCATTTCTCATGATGTCCTCTGCATATAAGTTAAATAAGCAGGGTGACAATATACAGCCTTGACGTACTCCTTTTCCTGTTTGGAACCAGTCTGTTGTTCCATGTTCAGTTCTAACTGTTGCTTCCTGACCTGCATACAGGTTTCTCAAGAGGTGGGTCAGGTGGTCTGGTATTCCCATCTCTTTCAGAATTTTTCACAGTTTATTGTGATTCACACAGTTGAAGGCTTTGGCATAGTCAACAAAGCAGAAATAGATGTTTTTCTGGGACTCTCCTGCTTTTTTGATGACCCAGCAGATGTTGGCAATTGATCTCTGGTTCCTCTGCCTTTTGTAAAACCAGCTTGAACATCTGGAAGTTCATGGTTTAGGTATTGCTGAAGCCTGGCTTGGAGAATTTTGAGCATTACTTTACTAGCGTGTGAGATGAGTGCAATTGTGCAGTAGTTTGAGCTGTCTTTGACATTGCCTTTCTTAGGGAGTGGAATGAAAACTGACCTTTTCCAGTCCTGTGTCCACTGCTGAGTTAAAGCCATAGGAACTCCTTAACCTGGAGTTCAATAATGGGCTTTAAGAGAAGAACGTCTGTGAAACTCCTGAAAATATATGCAAATTTTTGTATATTTGTAAGCAGATCCATTTCCACCCCCTAGGGAGTCAGCACATAACTTTTCAGATTCTTAAAGTTAATGAGTGGAAATATTAAGAACCACTAGCGTAGCATGTAAAAGAAAAAGGGCAAAAGTCAGAAGATTAGGTTATATTAATGAAAGGGGTAGTAGGAAAAAAAAAAAAACTTAGTAATGGAGACTGAAAATTTTCAGTTAGAGGGTAAAAGGAAATCAAGAGAGAGTATTCTAGGCATGAAGAAGATAATTGCTCAATTATATTAGATGCTAGAAAAATGTGTTGTTGAGGGCCAAAACCAACCCATTTTATTTGATAACTAAGGCAATGGTGACTTTGCCAGAGAAGTTTCAGTGGAGTACTGGGTGCGGGGAATGGCATTTTGATAACTGGGTATTCAAAGGATGAAACACAGTCTCTTGAG